ATAATACAAAACAGTGCATTAAACAAACCATCATGCTCTTACTTTGAAATCATGCGGAAATGTCGTCATCAGCAGGCCATCACGTGGTTTCCGAAAATAACCGAGTGACACGAGTAGATCTTAGCCGAGACCGGCGGAAAGTTTGTCACAAATACAAAATTGATTCACAAATGCCTGATCAAAAGTTGTCAATGTTGAAGAGATATTCACAGATCTTTTTTTTATTTGTGAAAATATTTAGCGTATTTGCAGATCCGTTTTACACTTGCAAATTTATTTGTGAGCTTGCAAATCTTTTAAATGCATTTGTGGATGGTGTTTTACATTTCCACATCACATATTTACACACAAATTATTTTTATGTTCAGACAAATAATCATGAGACAAATCTATGCCCATAATGAGTACATTTAAATGTATTAGTTTGTACTGAAAGCATCATGCTGTGCTGGAAAACTGTAGTGCCACCATTTCACCTTTTTTTAAAGTTGGGGAATTATTTCAGCGTATTATCTACTACACTGCTCCTGCTCTCAAATGATGTTAACTGCTGTGCATGGAAAAAACAAGGTCAAATATTTGAAGCAGTTTCGAAAGGAAACATCCCCCCCCTCCCTCGTCTCCTTAACTGTCAGGAGAGCAAACAACATGTCGGCACAAACATCAATTTCCCAGAAAGTAGGGCGCAGTGGAGGGACAACATTTTTTTATTTCTGTTGAGCTATTACACACACCCAATGTGTCTCATTTGTCAATTTGTTCCCACTTGTATCCTCCGAGGATAAAATGTGGTCGTAGTATCACCTCAGACTGCATTTGTCAACCCTGTGACAGCGAGAGGCTTTGGATTTTGGTACCAAAATCACAAGTCAGAGTGACTTTAAAAAAATACTTTTTTAAGGCATTGTTACAGTTGTTTTCTAAAGTATAGTATGGATATCTTTGAAAATCTTAGTCAATTGATAGTTTTTGACCTCTTGATTGGCTTCTACTTTTTTCATAAGAATCTGTAATCCAAGCATCAATAGATATAGTGCTATTACTACCACTTTTTTTGAGGATCTTGTCACAGTCATGGTGCAATTGTTTTTGCATGTCTATTCTTGCAAAAAGAGCCTGCTGCAATATGCAGGGTCCAATGTTTATGTTTTTTTAATCACCTGCTGTTATAACTACGCGCCACAAGTATACTTATACTTGCCCTTACACAAATGTTCTTTTTGTTATAATTTATTAAATAGCATAGTTATTGCTGTGGCGCTACTGATTCCACAGTTCTCAGACTGAGAACCAGCTTCTGACCACATAATCCAGAAATGTTTACTTGGAGAAACAAGTGCCTTCACGTAAAAATAGATGTCCTCTAAATTACAATAAATGGCCCCTCAGCGACAAACACGTCACATGAGTGTTTCAATGAAAGTGTTTCAATAAAAATATAAAATTAAAACTTGTGAACTTTATGTGTTTATCTTAAAGCAAGCAATAACTCTTATACAAGGAAGTACATCTGAGGCAGCTAAGCTTTTCTTTTTTGTTGTTCACTACAGCGATTTATAATGCTCAAAATATTCTTATTTAGAAAAGTTAAAATTAAGAAAGCAAAGAAGTCTCTATAAAGACCGTAATGTCCTCCCGATTACTATGCACCTTGTGCCCTCTGGGGTCAAAAATGACCCCATCTGGCTTGTTTGATATTTAACGCATAAAGTATAAAATGTGAATAAATGTTGTGTTACACCTTTAGTTCTACTTCAGTACAACCCATTACCACACATTTCTCCCTCAGTTTTGGAATTTAGTTGCCAGTTGCCCCTCATTAACAAGCGTGGAGACCTCAGATCCTGTAGCACTACGAGCACCATATTCGATCCAGAGAGCGTTGCATTTCAAATGTTTCTTGCTAGATGCATGTCTTGAAAAACCTTTGGTGCTATCAGTTGCACATTTCCAATAACAGAAGCCGGTTTGTGTGAAGGCTTTTTCTGCATTAGCACCACACCCTATGTTAAACTTTCTACATGGAAAGCAAAATGCAGCATCAGCCACAACTGAATATTCCAGCCACTTTCTTCCATTAAAACCCTCGTAATGTCCTCCCGATTACTATGCACCTTGTGCCCTCTGGGGTCAAAAATGACCCCATCTTGCTTGTTTGATATTTAACGCATAAAGTATAAAATGTGAATAAATGTTGTGTTACACCTTTAGTTCTACTTCAGTACAACCCATTACCACACATTTCTCCCTCAGTTTTGGAATTTAGTGCTGATAGACCCTTATTTATATGAAATTATACCATTTTCTGATAAAAAAAAAAGGTGAAACAATGAATTAATTTGACCATATTGTATT